ATTTCAATAGTGTTTCTTCACTATGCCCAATCATTTTGACAGGAATGTGTTATCAAGCCATTGCACAAGTGAAAGGGCCGGCAACCGCGGATGGGCAGAGGTGCAGCTGGACTGGGGCTCGAGCCAGAACGGTTAAAGGTGGAAAAGAATTGGCATTAGCTAGCATGTTTTGATGCTTTTATTTAAAGTTGCTGCTTGGTAAATTGATTTTAAAAGAAAGAAAATGTTAGTTTAATAAGCTGTAGGATGCTTAAAGCCTGTGAATGCAATGCTGTATTCCCTTGGTGACCAGAGAATTTCTTTAAACCCCATCTTTCCGGTGGGAGAAAAAGTTAAGCTTTCAACCCTTTTGGTATGAGGAAGGATCTTTATTGTGACGGTGAAGTAAACTATGATAAACCAAGTAAATTATAAGTTTTAAATGTTACAGGAACATCTGTAATAGTGATAGGTGAAAATTGTGTCTGCTGGTAACATGTCGTTAAATATTAATGGAATTCCAGTTGACTTTTCTTTTTACATAAATAGTCACCTGTATTCATTTACAGATTCCCTCTCAGCATTTTGAAATACTGGGTCAACTCAACAAATCGGTTATTCAGAAAAATCAAACCATCACCAACCCTTCTAATGCAATGCAAAAATCTCTTTTTGTGCTTATAGAAGAGCAAATGCCTTGGTTTTCGTCTCTGTAGTACTGTGGACTATAGTGTTAGGCATTCAATACAAAAGTCATGATAATTTACTGAGCATAAGTGTGTTGATTTGCTCCTGCTGACATTTTAGGAAGATTGCACCTGACTGAAGAGAAACTACTCATTTCTGCAATGTATCAAAAATCTTAGGTGTCATATAAAGCAGTGGGTACCGTGGAAAAGACAGACACAGATGTCAGTCCCCATGATAGGTGTTCTTAGCCAGAGACAATAGTTTTTTTTTTTTTTTTAATATAATTGGTTACTGGTTTTTAGAGGTTACATGCCTTTAAGAGAGACTTAAGGAGGTTTTCGTGGTTTTAGAGTATCTTGAAGGGAACTGAGTGTTGCTGCTGCAGGCTAAGCTTTCAGTCTGATTTTCAGGAATATGTTTAATCCCCTTGAAGTTGGTAGCAGAATATGAAGTTACGTATCCTCATATGGTAATGGGCAAGTGTATCTGATCTGCAGAACTGTTAAAGTCAGTAGCAGAAAATATCTACTCCTTTGCTTCAGAGCAAGAATGCACAAACTTCATTAAAATCTGAATTCCAGCAGAAATGTCTCGGGGGGAGGAGGGGGGGAATATAAAATTAAATTGATTTTTTTCCCCCACTTTCAAAGAATTTAATTTACCATTTGCTGTATACTCACAACATGAAAATAGCAATAATAAAATATTTAAAAGTAAAGTTTTGCAACAAAGAACTGGGACATTTTTGCTTAAATAAAAGAATACAATAATATGTTTATTTTTAAAGCTTTGGATTGGAAGGAAAAGGGGTAGGGGCTGAATATCATTTGAATACAAAAATGTAGGATATATTCCAAATTGCAGGATGTATAACCAAATTCTGGTTATGATTTGTCAGTATGACAGAGATTTTCTTTTTAATGTATTTTGTGCATGCTATCTGATTTAATTTTTTTTTTTGGTGAGGTACTCTTACTGGTTTTGATACTGCTTCCCTGAGCCTGAGTTTGAATGTATAGTCTAGAACACTTCTTAGGGATCCCGACATCATTTGATCTGTTAAGTGAAGGAATCTAGGGGAAGAGACAGGACTCGGTAAGGGTGCATAAGGACTCTTCTATGGACTATATAGGCTCTGTAAGGTGCTGTGAGTGAAATAAATGTGAAGGTTACTGTTCAGTAATTAAATGAGCAGAATTTGAGCAGAATTGAAAGGATGAGGAAAAATATATGTATTTTTAAAGGGTAAATTAATGCTTCTGGAACTTAATGACATCAGTGATTTGTGTTAGGAAAAAAAATACTCATCTGCCTTCTTAATGGTTACCAGTAACACAAATGAGTTTTAACAACTTAGTAATATCCCTTTACATTATTGTTTTCCTAAAATCAGCCAGATGTTCATTACAGCATGTCTTAGTAATGTGTCCACTGTGCTGATGGTACAGAGGGGTGGTAGCCAGGCTCACTTTGGAGACCACAGCTGGGGTCGACAAAGGAATGTGTATTTGGTTTGCATGGCAGAGCTTTGGAGGGTGGGAAATCATTACAAGGTTGGCTTCTGTGGGAAGCTGCCAGAAACTTCCCTTGTGTCTGATAGAGCCAGTGCCAGCTGGCTCCCGAACAGACCCGCCCCTGTCCAAGGCCGAGCCCATCAGCAGCCGTGTAGCATCTGAGATAACATATTTAAGAAGGGGGAAACAAACCTTGTGTAATTGCAGCTGGAGAGAGGAGTGAGAGTGTGGGAGAGAAAACATCTCTGCAGACACCAAGGTCAGTGGAGCAGGAGGGGAAGGAGGTGGTCCAGGAGCCAGAGCAGAGATTCCCCTGCAGCCATGGAGGGTCACGGGGAAGCAGAGACCCACCTGCAGCACAGGGAGGACCCCACGCCAGAGCAGGGAATGCCCGAAGGAGGCTGTGACCCTGTGGGCAGCCCATGCTGGAGCAGGCTCCTGGTAGGACCTGTGGCCCCAGGGAGACAGGAGCCCAGGCTAGAGCAGGGCTGCTGGCAGGACTTGTGGCCCTGTGGTGTACCCACGCTGGAGCAGGCTGCTCCTGAAGGACTGCACCCTGTGGGAAGGGCTTGGGTTGGAGAAGTTGGTGGAG